AAGTCCACCCATCTTAAAGTGGCCAAGTTTGAAAAACACTGATCTAAGCCAACCCTGAACCAAGTACATTTAACATCATGTCCCCTTACAGCATAGGAAATCTACTTTAATGATATTGGTATTCTGGGCTAATAAAGCAATTTTTCAGCCTTTCGAAATGCTGGCCTCTTTGCTGGGTCAACGGGAGCGCATGTCAGTCCCCCAACTCCCTTGCCGGCATCGTAATGAGAAGCCGAAACCCTGCAATCATGGCTCCCATTTTTCCTTCTGTGTGGGAGGATGGTTAAGTGTCAAGCTCTGTCGAGCGGCAGAAAAGCAAGCTGGTGGCAATTCAATTAGTCCTCATTATTGCATCAAGAAATGACATTTGGGGATTTCTCTCTCCAATGAATTTAAACCTCCGGCAGAGATTAAGCAGAAGTAAAACAAGGGACTGGAGCAAACGAACTGTCATCCGCCAGTGGAACAGAGGAATCCCAAAATGTGGGTGCCCCCCATGGCAGTTAATTTTTTTATCAGTCTTGAAGATTATTTTGCCCAGAGGGCAAAAATACCTCTTCTATTTCCACAGCTCTTTATTTATTGATTACCTTCCCAGACACATTTCCAACCAATGTTTCTCCAACTTAAGACTTCATTTCTTATTGTACCTCCCCCAACCACAAACCCCCGCCCTCCCCTTTCCTCGGTTGCATCCCATCTCGACGGCTTGTCTTATCCTCCTGCACTGTGTAAAATGCCGTGCATAAAAAGGGCACGGAATACGCATATTCACAATACAGCAAGAACATTCAGGAGAGAGGAAAGTAATTGAATTCAGGTGCCAAATTCTAGATAAATGCAGGAGAGAAGGACATTTTGGTATATTTAGCAACAGGTGACCCCACATTACATGGTTCCTCTCCATAATGGCTGTGTTCAGTTACTGAATTAACTCATTTTTCTGAATTTGCACAGTATCTTGTACCATACATTGATCATATGGACTGAGCTGACTTAATACACTCCGTCTCCATCATAACACGCAAAGCCCTTTATGCTAACTACATGTACCATGTTGTCTGAAGACATCTGACAGATCTTTACAAATATGATGTTGCATAAGTGCCACATTCTCCATCCAACATCTAGTTTTACCCTTTACCCATTCAACATTGCATGTTACAGACAAGAGAGAGAGAGAGAGAGAGAGAGAGAGAGAGAACATAGGAAAGTATTATTTATTGATTTTTTTTTTACCCACCAGAATCAAGAGACTCAACAACAAAAGTCACGGATTACAACCATGCCATTAAAATGTCCTTGGTACATCACATTCAGTAAGCAATCATAAAAAGCCATAAAAGGTTAAAAATACCTAGTTTAAAAAAAAAAACTCAAAGAAAAAAGATGGTATTCTTACAGCGGGATCTGGAATAATGTGTTTTATATGTGACAGAATAGGAAGAACAGAATAAAAATTAATACAGCTTTGACAAAGGCAGCTGTCCAGATGTGACTGGAGTGCCTTTTGGATAAAAGGATGGGATATAAATTGAAGACCCAGCATTCCCAGCCAGAATTATGGGGAAAATAGTCCAATGGGTCCAGAGGGGAATCAGATATGGATTCTCACAGCATCAAGGAATGTAATCTATAAGATTGATTGGTTGATTATGCACCATCAAGTCATTTTTGACTCCATATAGCAACCACATAGATAGATTTTCTCCATGACAATCTATCTTTAACCTGGTCCTTCAGGTCTTCCAGCGGTGCCCCCATCACTACTGTAACTGAGTCCATCCACCTTTCTGCTGGTCATTCCCTTCTTCTCTTTCCTTCCACCCTTCCCAGGATCAGAGCCTCCTCCAGAGAACTGGTCTTCGCATAATGTGTCTGAAGTAGGATAATCTGAACCTGGTCATATGTGCCTCGAGTGAGAACTCTGGGTTGATATCTTTGATGATCGATTGGTTTGTTTTCTTGGCTGTCCATGGTCTTCTCAAGAATCCTCTCCAACACCAAAATTCAAAGGTGTCAATACTCTATAGTATTATAGGTAATACTTACATAATCCATAAGAGTGAGCCTGAATTAACCTAGCCTGCATTTCTTCACTCAGAACTTAGCTATCCATCTGCTTTTGTTCTTCCCCAGATCTTGGCTCAAGAAAGCGTCAAGATATGTCTACAAATGAGTATTTGGACACAAAATGAGTGGCTTATCAGAGTATACATCGTAATACACAGAGCACGGGGCAGAAATGCATGCTTTGAGAAAAAGCAGGTTTAGTTAGAATACCTACATGAACACATGTAGATAAATGCAGGCCTTTTTTGAAAACAAATGGCAGATCAGAGCAGAAGTGGGAATGATTTTTAGGGGAACACAAAGCGAACGTGACAAGAACAGGAGTCAGACGGCTTGTCCATCTGTACCAGCTACTGCTGCCAACAGCACTGTGTTCCTGCTGTAAGGACTTAAGAATACCTCCGAAAGAAAAAGTCTGCTGCCTGAAAGGCACTAGAGCAGTGTTGTCCAAACTTGGCCACTTTAAGATGAGTGGACTTCAACTCCCAGAATTCCCCAGCCAGCCATGTTGAAGTCCACTCATCTTAGAGTGGCCAGGTTTGGACAACACTGCAGTAGAGTGTCGTCAAGGTCACCTTCTTGCACCTCTATTGGGCACCACAGTGTTCAAGATCTTGGAGCTACGCTGGAGAACAGTGGAAACTCAATTCCACTCTGGTTTTCTAAGTAAAAGCAGCTCCTGAGCTGGACCCTGGCAGACTCCAGAGCCCACCTAGCACACCTGTATGGGAACTGTGCCTCGGATCTCCCTCCACCCCCCCCCAAGAGATGGGGAACGTGCCACAGTGGAGATAAGATCTCAGGAGACCTTCCACAGCAGAGAGAAGGTCAGAGTCAGCTCGCTGGCTGTTAGGAAGTAGACTTGGAAGGGGTTGGCTGTGGAGACAATCCTATTTGGCCCCAAATCAGAAGCTCACGTTTGTACATCAAGAATGAAGGTGAAACTGAGCAAGGTAACATGGTCAGAAGATGGTTTTATTTCATTAGACCAGTGTTTCCCACCCAACCTTGGCAGCTTTAAGATGTGTAGACTTCAACTCTTAGAATTCCCCAGTTAGCATGCTGGCTGGGGGAATTCTGGGAGCTGAAGTCCACATATCTTAAAGTTTCTGAGGTTGAGAAACAGTGCATTAGACTGTCGCTCTTCCTGTCTTTCCACTAAAGGCAAAGTTCCTCCAAAATAGCAAACCAAAATAAATGAATGAATGAATAAAAAATATATTTGCAACATATGTAATGATACAAATCACACCCACACCCACAAGGAAAAAATCAAATCATAAATCACTATACATTGTGTGTGTGTATACACACATATATACATTGTAGTAAGACAACTGAAAAAAGCTTAGGAGAATAAAACAGTCTTCAGCTTTGGACATGCAACATCCATAATGGAGTCCAAGAACTCACTGTTTGTGACCTGCTGGACAGACAAAGCCAGGAGCTTATCTGGCAAAGGTGCAACTGAACAAGAAACATCACGAGTTTTTGTAAGCTTCCCCCAAACATGCGCCATTTCTTCAAGATGTGCAGAGAAATAACATCTGAACTTTGCTTCTAGATCAGTGTTTCTCAACCTCAGCAAGTTTAAGATGGGTGGACTTCAACTCCCAGAATTCCCCAGCCAGCATGGGTGGACCGCTCCCACAATACCACCGCTAGCCTGCTAGCTAGGGAATTCTGGGAGTTCAAGTCCACCCATCTTAAACTTGCTGAGAAAGACTGTTCTAGATAGTCTGGCGGGAGATGAAAGAAATCCCCAGCATTCTCTCTCTAACCCAAAATAAATGCAACTCGGGCTGGGGATTGAGCCTCCTTCCCAGAAAATTAAATGGATCGACAGAGGAAAGAGCTTTGCAAATGGAAGGCTGTTCCAAAGTACTTTTTTTCCCTTCTCTGAAGAGCTCTACAACCGATTGTCTGCTCAAACATTAAGGGACTGCCTTGAAGCAAAAAGATGCGACTAACGCTTGGAAAGCCCGTTTCAAAATGTCCCAAAAACCAGCAGCATCAGGACGCTAACCCAGCCCAGCCCCAAATTCAATTGCCTAACCCTTGTATTGAGTTCTGTGATCCTACTCGCTAGAGAAGACAATTAGAGAGGCAGAAAATGAACAGGCAAAGCATCACAGGCAGGCAGGCAACAGGAAAAGCGTTGCTTCCTTTCTCGCTTTTTAACACCCAGGAAGCAAGAGAGGCTTCTTTCCAAAAATTATCCAGACCAGCACAGGGAGTAATTCCTATTGGCGACCGCCGTCCTACAGCCTTGTATCCCTGCAGACTCTTACCGCTTTAAATCTTCCATCGCTGTGTTCCTGAGTAATCCACTTGCCCCAGAGGAGGACCCACCCGCAAAATCCTCTGCCTCCCTTTCATCTGAGCTTGGATTTCTCCGTGAACTTTCTGCCACCAGCTTTTGGAGCGCCGTGGGAGGACCACGGAAAACTTGCAACTGGACTGGAGCGATGGTTTGGCGCATCACACCTTCCTCCCTGCGTCTGCAGAAAAGCGCGGTAGCCAAAAAAAGACAACTAAACTAAAACGAAGAAAAAAGTCCTCCCCTTCAGGACACGGGCATTACAATGGTTTCCTGAGCTTCAAAGGGAACTCAGAGGAAATCCAGGTTTGCCAGTTGCTTCCAGTAATATAGTGCACACGCACAAATGGCAGCCAAAAACGTGACTGATCATTTTCAGATGGACGGTTGATCTCACCCCACATGCAATGTGTTCTCTGCCAACTCTCTGTGTAGATATTGTCCGTTGACCTTCTCCTTGTGATATGGAGCCACTTCTTCCAAATCCCAGTGCGGATTTCTCACGGTAGCCCTCTCTTTTCTTGGTCTGTCATCTTCTGTGCAATGCTGCTGCTGCTCCTCCTCCTCCTTTCTTCCTTCTTCTACCTCTTCTGCCTCCCTTGCCTTCCTCAGATCAGAGGAAGGCAACCGTAAGTACCAAGGAGCACCACAACTGTAAGTACCAGGGAGTGGGAGCAGCTTGGCCAAGCATGGCTAGAGCTTGATCAACATCTCCATCAAAGGTATGACCACCTGAGAATGAGGGTTGTTACAACATCCCCCTCTTCCCAATGGCTGTCTGCTGTTGGTTCCATGTGAAAGGTAAACAGTCAAAGGATCTGGTAGAGCAGAGGTGAAAGAGTCTCCCATACCCTGAAAGTTCTTGCCAGTTAGATAGACGATATGAGACAGAAGGCCGAAGTCAAACCGGGTAGAAGGCAACATCCCATTCGTTCAGACTTCCCCAAAGTGGCACCCACCAGTTCTGGTGGAACAGCAATTTCCAGAACTCCTAGGCTGACTAGGAATTCTGGAAGTTGCAGTTTGAAGACATCAAGTTAGGAAATGATGTATTAACTGAATATGCTCCTCAATGAGAAGGTGTTTTCTCCGTCCATTACTCTTTGAGATCTTTTTGAGAGGAATTGCACATTCAATGCCTTGTTCTTCAGTTCTGTCTCATTCCTCCCTCCCTGCTCATCAATGTCATGTATGAGTGTTACTTATGTGTCCTCCCAACTTGGAAACCACACCCAGCTCTTCTGCTTTGTGTCTACAAGCTGCCATTGGGAAGCTCTTCAAGGCAGCACCAGCATTCAGTTGAGTTTGTTTCTCTCTTTTCTGTACTGATCAGCCATCCCCTAGAATGCTGCATCCAGTTTTGGGTAACACCTTTTAGGAAGGACATTGACAAACTGGAACATCTCCAAAGGGAAACAACCAATTTCCTTCATAAGAAAAATTGTATGAGGAACAGTTGGAGACATTGAGTTTGTTTACCCTGGCAAAGACTCTGGGGAGACATCACGGCTACCTTCAAGTATCCGAAAGGCTACCTTGTGCAGGATGAGACAAAATTGCTCAGACTAGTTCCAGCAGACAGGACGAGGAAGAAGGGGCTTAACTTACAAGGAAGTAGAGCTTTGTGGAACATCAGGAGAAATTCCAAATGGTAAGAGCAATTCAACCATGGAACCGACTGTCTCAGGACGTGGTGGACCTCCTGTGCTTGGGAGAAGGAAGGAAAGGAGTCCATAGAATTGCTAAGGAAATCAGCAAGGAGGAGAACCCTCCCCAAGCAAGGCTTCCTGGTTTGCAGGGTTCTTGGCTCTGGAAGCCAAAAGAAACAAGAGACCCCCTCCCATCCACTCCCAAAGCACCCACAAGTACATGGGAAGGTGGTACCCAAAGAAAAAGCCTGTAGCCTGAGAAGGGAAAAACAGAAAATGTTCCAAATTATTTTGCCCCACTTGATAGTCTCCTGATGTGTTGGGACTCCAGTGCCCAGAATTCTCCAGCTCCTGGGTCTTCAACACCATAGGAGGCTCACCAAGATACAGAGGATGCTAGCACCATCTTCCTCAGGCTGGCATCCTCCAGAGACGCACCTGGAGTGCAGGTTCAGGTAAGCCGCCCCCGGAGCTGAAGAGTCCACACTTGGATGGAAGACCACCAGAAATGCCAAGATTGGGACTTTGAAAAAGCTTCCAGGAAGACAGTGGAAAACCACTTCCTAATTGTTGCGGAGAAAACAACCCAGCCGGGCTACACTGCTGTCACGCTGTTATGGAGGCAGCCTTTACCTTTAAGGAGGTCCATTCTCCAAGGCATCTTTCCAGCAGGTTTATGCAGATGGACCATTATGAGTTTGGATTACAGCCAAGGAGGCTGTAACCCTGAACTTGTCAGTTTTAGGCGGAAAATGGCATTTTAAAAGACTTCATTGAACAAGCTTTCAAATGCCAAGAAACTACTATGAGTTCCGCTGCCTTCCTCTACATGTTGGACCTCATCACAAGCAAGCCTTACTCTAAAGTAGACCTTGGTCTGTACAGAACTCCAACCTGACTGCTTTTTGCACAGGGGGGTTATTTTTTGATGCTTTGCCTAGCCAAGGAGCCTTTTTTCGAAAATCAGATGGGCGTCCTGAGTCCCAGTAGTGAATTATTCAACATGAAACTACAACTCTTCATAGGAGAGGAGACCTGGCCTCCAGTGGTTTTCCTCTGGCATGTCATGGAGAAGTTTCTTCTTCTCCTTTCTCCAGCTGTTTCCACGTTCCCTGACCTTTCAAGGAACAAAGGGTTCTCTGGAAGTTGCAGAGAAGGACGAGCTGTTTGCAGCCCAGTCAAGACCAATATTTTATGGGCTGTGACCAGTGACCCCAAGACTGGATTCATCATGCTCCATTGGACTCTGAAGAGACCCCATGACTGATTAACCCGCCACTGCTGGCTTCCCACAATGCTCAAACCTGCAGAGTCTTCTTTCCAAGGCATCGCGCGCAGGAAAAGGGAAGCAGGGTGACCGCAGGAGAAGCTCAAAAACCTAAGAGGGTGACTGCAACTGCAGAACCAGAATCCTGCCCCTTTTCTACCTGCGTCCTCTGACCACAGGGGCATCTTTGAAAGGGCCTGTCCTGCAGATTTTAACAGCTGGACAAGTTAATACCCCTTAGATAATCAGGACATTAAAAATTCATGTCTTTAAAGATCAATACCAACATTTTAAACTGTGCCTGTTAGCAGCCAGCAATCAGTTGCCAAATCTGTCACAAGGGGATCTGACTTCCATTATGTCAGCCCAGTAGGTAGACCAGACCAGAAAATCAACCCCACAGGAAGGCTAAAACTACCTTTATTGAGACAGGCTGCAACAGCAGAATCTTGCACGTCTGATGGCGCTGGACCTCCTCCCCTTCTTACACCCATGGGAATGAGGGAGGTGTCTGTCTGAGCCACTCCTAAATGTTTTCTGGACTTCAAAACTGCTTTAGCCCCCTTTGCCTGGGCAATGGGGCCTGCACTTCTCTGCCAAGGACAACTTCCTGACTCTCTACAGATTAATAGCCCTGGCTACCACCTTCCCAGCCAATATTACAGAAACCACGCATCTGCCTTCCAAAACCGACGGAATTAAGGAGCGTCCCGCCAATGCCCACCCAGGTTGAACTTCTTTAGGAAGAGGTAGTTAAGCAAAGACACCCTTTGGTCATCTAGGCTCCAAGTAAGCCCCTCCAAATGGTGACCAACTGTCCTCTGACCACCCCGCTTACAAAAAATAAGGGCCAAAGGGAGAATTCCCTGGAAGAAAGGAAGAATAAAAATGGAGTGGGCGAGTAACAGATTTATGACCTACGCAGTTCCTCAGCGAAGAACACACAGCTACTAATGGATTCAATTCCCAACAGGGAGGAGATTGCAAGTGAAAAATTCCATTTCCAGACTCAAAACAGTTTTATTCTCTTCCAAGCATGTGACCGGTGTTTGTGTGTCTGTCAAAAAGAGCAGAGATCCAGATGGATGGAAGGTCCAGAAAGTCAGAACGGAGAGAGAATTAGCTATTTTTCAGCAATCAAATCTGGAAATCATTTATGTAGTGCATCCTGGCTACAAATTGCTGTACGGCCAAGCCAGGGATGGGGGGTAGGACCCAATGGTTGGTTGACTTCCTTTCTTGATTTTTGCTAGCACAGCCTCTGAGCTTCTCTTTGGAGGGCCGTGAATGAGCGTAATGCACAGGTTGTGTTTGGGACTGTGCATGTAGTTTGTGTGTTGGGGGAACCTAGCCCTTCTGAGCCACCCTCCTGTGCCGGAATATGGCTCTGTTTCGTGGTACGTGAACCCACAGAATCACAGATCTGGAAGGAATCTCAAGGGAGATCTATTCCAACCCCCTTCTTAGTTCAGGATCCGCTAAAGGCTCTTCGGCCTCTTTGAAGATCTCCAGTGAAGGACAACTCAGCCCATCTAGCCGGGTAACGAAACGTTTGCAAGGAAAGAACCCAGCTCAGGGAACCCCACGGACCCCACAGTTCAACCCTGAACCACACATATTCGCCTCTGTTGGTGGACAGTCTGTGCAGTCAGGAGATCCTTCCTAATATCAAACTTCTCATAGTTTCAGCCTCTTGGTTCTGGTTCTGCATTCCAGGGGGGCCGAGAACAAGTCTTCTCCCACCGCCACAGGGCAGCCCTTTAGATATCTGAAGATCACTCACTCCTTCTGAATAGTCCCAGATCTTTCCACTGTTCCTCACAGGGCTTGGTTTCCAGACCCTTCCCCACCCTGGGCGCCCTCCCTCCAAAGCGTCACTGTCCTTCTGGAGCTTCAGGGCCCAGAACTGGACGCAGGGCTCCAAGTGGGGCCTGGCCAGGGCAGAGGAGAGTCGAGCGATGCTTTCCATGATCTGGACTCTGTGCTCCTGTGAACGCACCCCACGATAGCACTGGGCTTTGTAGCAGCTGCATCCCCCTGCTGGCTCATGTTTAACTTGGGGTACACAAGGACACCCAGATCCTGTTCCGTGATCTGAACTCCGTGCTCCTGTTCAGGCACCCCAAAATAGCAGTTGCTTTTTTAACACGTTTTTCTGGGCACCCCTGCTCAGTGGCCCTCAGCTCTCCCCCCAGCCATCCTTTTTCTAGACGTGCCCAGCAACTTCAATTTCTCTTCGTTTCCTGTTGCCCCATCACCCTCACCACCCGTCTTTGTTCCTCTTGTTGAAGCACAGAACTTGGAGGTGACCTCTGAGGTCCCACCACCTGCTCAGGTCAGGATCCAGCACAGCATCTCTGACCGGTGATCGTCCAGCTTCTGTCTGAAGTCCTCCAGCAAAGGAGAA